CCTAGAGCCCATCCCGATGGAGCTGGAACGCGTTGACTAGGGGTCTGAGACTCGTGGCGTCAGTTGCAACCACAGAGGTGGGGGCGCGGCCAAACAGCAAGGCTATTCCTACCACATAGTCTCATCGCATTGGGGGGCTCCGCCAGTTCGACGTGGTTGGGTTAACTGAGCAGATATAGCGTAAGCATCCGCAACCGCAGTGTGTGTCCGTTGCCATGTGGCCGTCGCTTAGAACCAGACACCTCTCCACACATGATCAAGCCATGCTCGCTTTGACGGTATAGCGGAAGCAGAAGTCAGGCCTCTCGTAAGGTGAGAACATGAGTGAGAAATGGGCTGTAAGGAGAGGTGTGCAGACAAGATTTTTGACAAGAGTTTCCAAGCCTTTTAAGGTGCGCAACGGTGTGCGGGCGGGAAAGTAAAATCTATTATGTCAGACAAGGCTTAAGAGGTGGGAAAATCGTGTCATGTGATTGTTCATTCTACTGTGAGCTTCACCTGCAACAGACACTTTTCTCCGCGGTGGAAAAAAGTGCTGATCTCTACAGCATCCGAACACGATACTCAGTCCGATAGAGTAGATTCTTCCTCGTCGCTGAAGAATCTGCATCAATATTGACCCAAGCGGCAAGTGGACTGAGAATTGCAATTATACAGTCTATGATCCTCTGTATAGTTACGGTGGACTGTGACCCCTTCAACATGCAGCGCAGTCTGCAGCACCTGCGGCTCCATCCCCCTACAACGTCTACGATTCTCAGGCAACAGCACAGAAACACGCATTATTGTGCTACGACACTAATGCCTCGAAGATGAATCTCGACTCAAGATAGCACTGAAGGTGCTTGAACTCCGATACCTTCGCGGAATGATTGGGTTTTTGGACTATATTGTCCACGCCTTTGGGACGTCGACCGATTGGAATCCTGACAACAGCTACTCCTCTCTGACCGCAACGTCGGATGCGTTGCTCTCGTTTCAGACTCCCTCAACACTGTCGCTCCATGTCTCGTCTCTGAGCACCCCAAATTTCGCATCTTCATACACCTTGTCGACGTTGGGGCACATCGATGGTTCGATCTCCTACCTCTACTCGAGCATCCCATTGAGCCATGTTCCTTCAGAAGCACCGAGCATACCCCTCAAATATTTGACTCCAGGATACAGAGATATAAGGCTACCCCTGACGTTTCTGCCAGGAAAAAAGAAGGACAATTCCAAGTCTTTAAGCGAAGATGGGAGAAAGCCAATTCTGCTGCATGCAACACTGGACCTTCCCCCTCCATCAGTTCTGACGGCGTTATATGCGCGCCGTATCAGTCCCGAGACTCTGCTCTCCATTTCAATATACAGCAAATCAACCTCGACACCAGTAACGAATACAGGTCCTCCACCGGCCTCGATCCTTGCCCATGTTCAGCACGATGCAGGCCAGTATTCAGTCGAGGGGCTGGGCTCAACAGACAATGGCCTACTTGGAGTTAGAGGTCTTTGGAATTTTGGCCTTAACGCTCCTAAGATGCAAGCCGCCTCTCCATCGGGACACCTTCCGTCACTACAGACTACGGACGCCACGGATATCTCCACAGATTTCTCTTTCCCCGGACCGAGCTCCCCACGGCAAGGGGATGCCTTGACTCCATATCAAATTCGTCTAGCTTCTAAGCCATCGCTGCTGTCTGCCGGCGCAGAGTTCTACTACAGCCCTCTTTCCCACGTTATCGGCCTCTCGACGGGCTTACGCTTCACCACCCTTACACCGCATATAACACCATCAGAGCCACCGCCATACCCTAGTCCTTCGCATAACCCGCGGGCGGGAACGTCTGCCGCCATTCTCTCCACGGCAACTCATGCCCTGCTCACTCCCTCAAATGTGCCGTATTCGTCATTTCCATATACCATGACCTTAACCCTGACTCCACTCACGGGATCCATATCATCTACTTACTCCGTGCGGCCGACATCGACACTGTCCTTGTCGTCCAGGTTCGACTTTAATTTTTATTCGTGGGAGTCTCGATATGTCGTGGGCGGAGAGCTGTGGCGGCCTCGCCGTCGGCGAACCTCGTCTTCCTCCCCCTTTTCCAGAAATACAGAGGGTAACTCCGCTGCCTCCAGTTCTGACTACGAGACAGATAGAGATCCAATTCAATGGGCCCGTACCCTCACCAAAGACTGGTTCAGCCCGACCGAGCGCTCCCTCAAGGAGGAGCGAGTTGAAAGAGAAGAAGAGACCGTGCTGAACTTCCGGGTAGACGACTCCTGGAATGTCAAGGCGCTCTGGACTGGAAGAGTGAAGAGTTTGCTTGTCGAGGTTGGAGTCTCGATAAGCCCTGTCGTCGGAGCTGCAGCTGGTGGATTTAGGGCCAGCGGACTGAGTGCAGGGACTGGAAATGCCAGAAAGACTGCCGGACAGCATGGGGGAGTTGGGTCTGATGAAGGAGGGGTCAAGAAATGGACAGGCAAGGTGGGTGTGAGCGTTGTCTACTCTACATGAATGACATTTGCGACACGATTTCCTGATGAAGCTTGTTGCGGCCCAGACATGGGATGGTGACTTTGCGACCTTGTCTGTTTGCGAGCGATGGCGTTGGCGGCAGCATTTGTTCTTTGTTCTGCTCTGGTAGATAAACCCGGTCTTATACCCAAGTGCCCTACGAGACCAAATCACAACGCACGGTTGAAACTTGCCCTGGAGCAACTCGACTAGTAGTGGGGGCACGTGAGCGCATCAGCCGGGTCACCGGGAAGAGCTGGGACGCCTGCTACCCTCGCTCAAGAACCGTCTCTGATATGGAGAGATCGTATTCACGTGAGGATGGGCGGGCGGTTCAGGTATATCCAGGGGCACTTTATCCCCCTGACAAGAGGAACCAGAGGATGCGCAGCGCAGAGTGTGGCTCCCTTGTGGGAAAGACGACAAAACAAGACACTTGGCATCAATATCTTTGTACCGAGTACGTTAGGTATGTAGAGTTGTATACCCTGTACGAGTAAGTTGGCAGTCAGTGACAGTCACATGACTTATATAAGCATTTGTAGCCGGTGGCAAGGACTCGTTCCCATCGTCCTACCGTCTGATTATTTTCTATTCCCCATCTTTGTTAGATGGTCTGTGACGACTCGTCGATCTGGACCTGGAACGCCTTGGTTGCCATGCCATAGCTTGACCGGACAGCTTCGCTGGCATAGATCCGCATCTCCTTCTCGTAGGCCGCCGTGACACCTTCCTTGGACCCGCCAGCCTCGCGCAGCAGTCGTCCCAGCAATGCCGAGTCCCGCACGGCGGTGTTGGCGCCTATCCCTCCTGCTGGGGTCATCGCGTGAACCGCGTCGCCAATGAGGGTGACGCGGGGTTCGTTGGGCCACTCCGGCACGCCGCTCGGTGTCGAGCAGGTGATTTTCCAAAACGCGGCTTCGGATTCGTTCATCTGGTCAAAGAGAGGCCTGAAGCGGGGGTTCCAGTTTTGGGTGAGCGACTTGGCCATGTCAGCTGCTACCTTGCCGACGATGGTGTAATCGTCGTTGGGTGCCTTGATGACTCCGGGCACGCTGCTCATGGTCCACCCGAACTGGACATCTGGGTTGTCCATGTCGTTGGGGCGCACGTTGGTGATGATGGACACCCGCCCGCGCGGATTCGAGTTGTCGACGATCCTGAACACGCCTTCGCCGAGGCCCTTGAAGGCCGTGGTTGGCGCTTGCCCGTGGATACCTCGGGCGCCGAGGTCGTAGACTTTGAGACGCCCTCCAGACAGCTGCTTTGCAACGGTCGAGTTGATGCCTTCGCCCCCGACCAGGAGGGAACCTTCGACGGATTTGGTGCCGTCGGCGAAGATGGCTCGAACCCCGTCGGCCGTCAACTCGTAACCCTTGACGTGCTTGTTGAAGTGCACAAACTCCTCACAACCTTCCATGAACAAACTCCTCATATCTCCACGGGCGATGCCCACAACCTTGCCCTCTCGCGACCCCAGATTCTCGCCCATTTTGTGCTCCTCCACCACCTCGCCCGTGACAGCATCGAACCCCAGAAACCCGCTCCCGCCCGTCTTGCCGCAACGGTCATAGAAGCGCTGGAACGCAGGTGGGTCCAGGACGGACTCAATCGCGTCGAGACCCTCGAGTGAGAGGCGCAAGCGGTAGCCCTGGCCGCGGAAGGTGAGCGAGGCATCACGCTCAAAAACCTGAAAGGGGATGTTTGAGCGGAGAAGAGAGCGTGCGAGGAGGAGAGAGGCCAGGCCAGCGCCAGAAATAAGGACAGGTTTCTGGGTCATTGTGCAGCTGAGGTCGTTACCATGCTTGGATCCGTAACTGGGTTGAAATCCGTTCCGCGGGTGGCTCAAAGATGGCGGCGAGGAAGAGGAACCGAGAAAGCGAATGATTTACCTACCGTACAAGGAAAAGCAGAATGTCAACGACACAGGTGTTCAGAAATGGTTATGAGAAGAAGAGGCTCGCTATCTGTGAACGAGCATGACATATCAGCGGAAAAGGGCCAGGCTCCACACCACCATCATGTGCAACAACATGTCTATATACTGCTGCATCTCGTACAAGTAATTGTTGATGGAATCATCTTCAGATTTGTAAACGCAATCGGCTTGGCGTATCTGATCCCGACTCCGAGATCTTGGGTGAGTCAGCTCGGGATTGAATGTTTCCGATATGGCGGTTGTGATGGACAATCTCCAACTCCCGTAGCTCAACCTTTGTACCTTTGTACCGTCTTATCTAATGACTCTATCAAGAGCTGGGGCCGTACATCATAGTCGTGTCTATCTTGACCCGAACACCGGGGCAGGCGACTAATCCATCGGCAAGGCCCGCATACATCATATTGGTCATATTGGTGCAAACAGCCCACTTATTCATTCATTGCTCGTCGCCGATTCATTTTGAGGTCTAGGATATCCGACTTTTACACAATCTTTCAGGCCCATCCGCCCAGCGCACACAAGAAGATACCTCAGGTCTCACACCTCGCTAGGAGGATTTCAGTTGTTCTTCTTCAAGGCGTCCAGAAACTTCTGCGGTGGTTTCTGTCTATATCCCTCTGGGTTATTCTCGGTCCAACGCCATAGATCGGCACAGGCATCTTCCATCGTCCTGGTAGCCTTCCAACCAAGCTCTTGATTTGCCCGCGTCGGATTACTCGTCAAGTCTAGAACGTCACCGGGTCTTCGGTCGACCACTTGGTAAGGTAGGTCGCGACCTACGGCTTTGCTGAATGCCTTTATCATCTCAAACACAGTGGAACCGCGCCCAGTCCCGAGATTCCAGGCTCGTACACCTGGCTGATGTGCGCGCAGGTAATCCAGCGCTTTTAAGTGGCCTGCAGCCAGGTCGAGGATGTGGATGTAATCGCGAATGGCAGTGCCGTCATGCGATGCGTAATCGTCGCCAAACACAAGCAACTTCTCTCTTTTCCCCGTGGCAACTTGCGCGAGCAATGGCAGCAGGTTGTACGGAACTCCCGAGGGATCTTCGCCCATGATTCCGCTGGGATGGCTCCCTGCTGGGTTGAAATATCGCAAGAGCCCAGCATTCCACTTCTTTACCGCCTCTGAGTCGCCTTTCTTTTGGGACTTTGCGCGCTCGGCATTGATGTGGTCCGTGATCATCAACTCGGAAGTGAATTTGGTGTTGCCATAAGGATTGGTCGGTCCCAGGGGGCATTCTTCTGGAATGGGTATCATGCCCGGGACGCGGGTAGCGTCGCCATAGACAGTAGCGGAGGACGAGTAGACGATATTCGTCACATTATGTCGGGCGGCGGAAGAGAGAAGGCAAAGTGTGCCATAGACATTGACGCGGTAGTAGTCGAGAGGAATCTCGCCGGACTCGCCCACAGCTTTCAACGCGGCAAAGTGAATGACGCTGTCGATATCCGGATGCTTGGAGAACACTTCGTCAAGCGCCTTTTCATCCGTAATGTCGACATTGTAGTAATCGGGTTTTTTGCCGCAGATGAGTTCTATTCGATTGAGAACTTCGGGGGAGGAATTGTAGAGGTTATCGACAACGACGACTTTGTAGTCCGCTTCGAGCAGGGCTAGGGCTGTAAAAGAGCCAATGTATCCGGTGCCACTGAGAGGAAAGGCAAAGTCAGTCTCTGTGTGGACTATTTGAGGGAAAGAATTCAGTCTGGCCCAACGTACCCGGTGATCAAGCAGGACCCCGCAGGCATTTTATCAATGTAGCACGTCGCTACCCGAGACAGACAGGGCGGGGCAAGGTGTGATCTGCGCAATGCCGGCTGCGCGTTGGAAGACTGAGCTCAAGGTGCGTGCGAGATGAGCGCTCTAATGTGTATAATGTGGAAGAGAGCGAGCGAGTTGGAATAACAAGGAATCTATTGTCAAGAGAAACTCCCCCTAGCATCGTTCACACCCTGGTTGATGCAAGGGACCAAGTGGACAATAGTGGCATGGATGAATATTCCGCAGGCGGAAAATCCCGCCCCTGCAGCAAATTTCCCCACTAATAACTTTTTTCTTTGGTCACTCTGTGTGCTTCGCCGCATTTGCGTGGTTACTGAAGACCGGAAGAAAGGCTCAAGATGGAGAGGGAAAGGCCAAAGTCGGCAGCGAAACGCCCCAAATTATCCCCTGGCCCTCGAATTACAGATCCGCGCTTCGCAAACATCCAGTCCGATCCTCGCTACCGCCTCCCGGGCAAGACAAATAAGGTCAAACTTGACAAGCGTTTCGCCCGAGTTCTCCAAGACGAGGACTTTGTGAAGCGGTCCAAGGTCGACCGATATGGCCGTCCACTTGAATCCAACGCAGAGAGGAAGCGGCTGAAGCGGAAATATGAGTTTGATGAAGACGAGGAGGCCGCGGCGGAGAACAAAGATGAACAGAGTGATCATGCGGACGACGACGACGAAGTGCAACAGGAACTGCGCAGGGTTGATCAGAAGACTCGAGATCCTCTGCGCGAAGGCAGAGAGACAGACTCCGAGTCCTCATCAGATGAGAACACAAGCGAGGACGAGTCAGAAGAAGGAGAAGAAGCAACCTTGGAGGAGGAAGTGGGAATTGGCCCAACGCAGCAGACAGACGTTCCGACGGGACAAGTCACATCTCGCGTTGCCGTTGTCAATCTCGATTGGGACAATATACGCGCTGCCGATCTAATGGCGGTCTTCAGCAGTTTCCTCTCATCCTCCGACACACTGCTCAATGTCTCCATCTATCCCAGCGAATTTGGCAAAGAACGCCTAGAACGTGAAGAAATGGAAGGACCGCCCAAAGAGATCTTTGCGAATCCTGCGAAGGAGGACAGGAACGAAGACTTCTCCGACGATGAAGAACCGGCCGATGAAGACATCAAAACCTCAATGCTCAAACCCGACGATGGCACAACCGATTTCGACTCCACTGCTCTGCGCCGTTACCAACTTGAACGTCTGCGATACTTCTACGCCATCTTGACATTTTCTTCGCCGAGTGTAGCCAAACAGATCTACGACGCCGTGGACGGCACTGAATATTTGCGCACGGCAAATTTCTTCGATCTTCGGTTCGTCCCCGACGACACCGATTTCTCCACAGACGTCCCCCGTGAAGCATGTGATCGGATACCCGATGATTACCGACCGAATGAGTTCGTGACAGATGCGTTGCAGCATTCCAAGGTAAAATTGACGTGGGACGCAGAGGATGGGGGACGCAAGGAAGCAGTGGCGAGAGCCTTCAAGGGTGGAAGAAAGGAAATTGATGAGAATGATCTCAAGGCATATTTGGCTTCGGATGACTCGGAGGATGACGAAGGGGCCGAGGATGCGGCAACGAACGGTGCTATTTCCAAGAAAGAAGCAGAAAGGCAACGTATGCGCACACTCCTTGGTCTCCCACCGGAGCCGGAGAAGAAGTCGTCCAAGAAAGACAAAGGGCCGATCGGAGATATGCAGATCACATTCACATCGGGCTTGAGTGGCGCAACTAACGAGAAGGGTAAGAAGAAATCGGTGTTTGAGAATTCGCCTGAGCCGGAGGAGACAACGCTGGAGAAATACGTCCGGAAAGAAAGAGAGAGGAAGCAGAAGCGCAAGGAGAAAATGAAAAATGCTCGTGAAGGCCGCGACCCCGAGGCAGAGGCCGAGGTTGATGCCGGCGATCAAGACCAAAGCGATGAACGGCCAGTCCCAGCTAAACAAGAGGAGGGAGATCTGGGCTTCGATGACCCATTCTTCACGGAACCGTCAGCTGTATCAGAGAAAGCGGCCTCCAAGAAACTGCGAAAGGAAGAGCGGCTTAAGAAAAGACAGGAACGCGAAGCCGAAGAGGAGGCGGATCGCAAACAGCGGGCGGAACTTGAATTGTTGATGGTTGACGACGACGCCGCGGTGGATGAAGATGGCCGCGATGGAGTCAAACGGAAGGTGAGGCACTTTGACATGCGCGAGATCCAGAAGACCGAGAAGGAAGAGCGCAAGAAGAACAAAAAGAAGAAGGGCAAGGCGAACAAGGGAGGAGCTGAAGAGGCCAAGGTTCCAGAAGACGCCACCCAGGATGGGTTCAAAGTGGACACATCGGATCCACGTTTCGCCCGACTGTTCGAGAGCCACGAGTACGCGATCGACCCGACGAATCCGAAATTCAAGGCTACGAAGGGGATGCGGGCATTGTTGGAGGAAGGACGGAGGAGGAAGCACAAAGGGGATGCGAGGACCGGCGTTGCGGCGCGGCAACCAGATACAGCGTCCGGTGGCGACGGTGCTGCTCGAAGCAGACACGGCAAGGACGGGCACGCCGAAGCGTCCACGCGTCGCCACGAGCTTTCGGGTGACGGAACGAGCGATGTCAAGAGACTTGTCGAGAAGATTAAACGCCAACAGCGAGCTTGAGGGAGAACACATGTGCGCACAGGTGTGCAGACATGGATTCATGTGTACAAACACAAACATCGTCTCACTGCAGCGTATACGCCAGCGACACCGGTACCAGAACCATCCATCACCCCTACCTATCCTGCTTCTTGTTGGATGTGATTATGCAACCATCTCACTCTTGGGAACGATCATACTCGATCATGCTCGACAAAGCTTCTTGGGTCGGGTGATTGAGAACAAAGAAGCGAAGAACAAGCGAGTGAGTAAGTGAGTAAGTGACCAAATGGCCGCATGGGTGCTTCATCCACATTGTCGTTGAGACAAGAATGTCATCGGCGGCGAGGAGAGAGGAGACAGTCGGGATACTCGCACGGTCAGCCAGATCTGGTTCGAGAGCCAAAAGCAGCCAGGGCGATCTCATATACACATCGCGCGAGCTTTCATTCAATACTCTGTCCGGGACAGGTGGAAAAGGGCGAGCACAAAAAAAAAGTGACGGCAACACAGGGAGGGGAAAAAAGGCAGCAGAACAATTGACTTGCATCGATTGATTGATTGAATACTTTCCTCGAATACTTTCCTCTGACTCTTGACTCTCGATACTTGATTCTTGAATGGCGATTCTCTTCCCTTCCCAATGCATATCAACACGCTTTCCTTGCCCTGCACTCATCACAGAGCACTGGGCGCTCATCGTTGTCTCTCATCGCAGTTTTCAAACTTTGACCTCTCCTGCGTGTTCTGTGAGTCCAGGATGAAGGCACTACATGGTCCCCGCCGAGTCAGTGATTTCGACAGCATCCTGGTCGGCGTGCAAACAACCCCCTAAGGGTATCATGGAACAGTGCAGACGATTTCCCCTCAAAAGTCCGTTGCGTTGTTGATGACCATCATTTGAACTCCACCTAGCTCCAAGCTCCTGCAAATTCGACCATCTCATATCTGTTCCAACCTCTTCAATGTCCCATTCATATTGCTTGCATCTTCTTTCCGAGGGCAGAACCCATGCTCATAGACTAACCCCCAGCTCTACCTTTCCACCTTACCGATACGGCGGCATATTAGAGTTGCCCGCGCCTCCTCTTAGTCCCAGCCCTCTGCCGCCAACTTCGCCGTACATCTCCATGAAAGCCCGCTGTTGCGCTCCCGGGTCACCACCAAATCTCGCGGCGGGATGATTTCCCATTCCACTTGGAAAGCCCGGCGGTGGACCCGCATTTATGAAGCCTGGAGGGGGGTAAATACCGGGTGGAAGGTTAGGAGGCATTCCGGAGGAATCAGCGGTGTATTTTCTTTGTGGCTGTGGTTGCAGCGGGCGCTGCTGCTGCGGTAGAGTCGGCTGACTCGGAAGCTGCTGAGGTTGAGCATATGGACCCCCTGACATCCCCCGAGGGAGGCTGGACAAGCCAGGCGGGAGTGACGGTTGGCGTGAAGGTTGTGGTGGCTGCTGGGGCTGTTGGGGAGGCCAGCTCGGATTCTGTCGTGGCATCTGATCCAGTCCAGGAGGACGCTGAAGACCCGGAGGGAGTGCTTGAGGTGGTTGAGTGGGTTGCAGTGGTCTCTGTGGTGTTTGGCCACGCAGAAGTGTCATTAGGGGAACATCCGGATACACGGGTTGTGTGCCGTTGGTTGGCCTTCTACCAGGCTGTTCGCGCTGCGTCTGTTCGTTTGGGTACATAGAAATCGGCGAATCATCAAACACTTGCCCTCTTGGTTCTCTTCGCTGTGCCATTATTGGATCCTGTTGAGCCTGAACGGGGGAGATCACTGGCCCTCTTGGCTGCATTGGACGGTTACTGGGCTCGGGAGGCAGGCCAAACATTAGTCCTCCAGTAGGTGGTGGTGGTTGAGGTTTTGGAGCCAGAGTGGCTTGACGGAGCAAGGTCAACAAAACTTCATCTTTGGTAATGCTCGACTGCTGTCGTGTGTGCGTGGGTTGCTCGCTGGGAGATTTGCTCTCTGTATACCTCTCCGGAGGGGCAGTTGGCTGGACGTGCTCAGGCTGCGACGCTTGACCTCCCAACTGCCCACTCAACAGCGCATAGAGTTCAGGCAGGGGTGGCTTTGGTTCAGGGTCGGTCTTTTGCTCAGCTGCTCTTGCATATAATGGTGTTCTCGGTTTTGCCCCCTCTTGATTTTGGGGAGTGGGGTTATTACTTCGTGTCTGCAACATTTCAAGAATGCGAGCGAATCCAGCTTGGTCGGCATCTGTCGCCGAGCCTGTTGCTTGAGCGGATGAAGGCCGGTCCGAGGACGAAGCCTGAAGTGGAATTTCGATCTGCTTGCTTTGTTCCGTTGCAGGACTAAACAGCGATGCAAACCGTGTTTTGCCATGCGACTTTGCGGGCCCAGCCTTTTGTTCCGTCGTCTTTGACTCGAATCTTGCGAAGAATTTATCCATCGAGTCGTCTGGCTCGGCAGAAACGACTCTCTTGGCTGGCTTCTCTTCCGCTGGTGGACTGGTGGCAGCTGTTTCGACTGCTTCAGGTGGCGCTGCGCTGCCAGCCTTCATCCGTTCTTTCCAACGTTGGAAATCCTCCTGGGTACGTGCCTGGAACGGCTCTTCAGGTTCGGTAGAATCCATCCATTCGGGTTCCGCCTCCACTTTGGCAGCGCGATCCTTATCCCAGTCACGGTCTCTGCCTCGATCGCGACGCCAGTCAGGTGCCTCATCCCCGGTGTCCTTTTTAAACCATGACTGCGACAACTTCGCCCTTGACTGTGTGTCTCTCCTGAAGCCGCGTGATGAATCTTCCTGTGTTTGATCGTTGTCTAGGTCTTGATCATTTCTGTCTCTCCCTGCCCATTTCGGCCTGCGGTCGAACTCACGACGACCTTCTGTCTCCAGATCTTCGCTCTCTTGACGATTGCCGTAGCGGCCATTTGTTTGAGTATATCTACGCTCGTGGTGCCGGAACTCGGACTCTTCGCCATTTCGGGATTTGTCGCCCAGTGTTGATCGATCTTTATTATTCCCCAACTCGTCCCCTAGATCTTGCGACTTGCTCACGGCGCGGGCATTGGAAGCGAAGGACCGTCGAGGAGGACCGAGAACGATGCGGTCGGGATCTAAGAACTCTCCGTTAGCTGGATTGGTTCAGGGGAGATGCGTAGTGGCGTACCCGTAGTTGTTCGACGTTGGGCGTCGATTATAGTTGGACGTTTTTGAAAAGGTTCACTTGCGACAGGCTGCTCCTCTTTAACTCCTCGAGCTATCGGCCTCCTGCCACTCAGTTCTTGCGCACTGGGTAACGTCAGTCATTGTTATCTTGCTGAAGCCACAAAGTCGGGCATGCGTTCCATACCCCATCCATTCCTCTATTGGTGGTAGATTCGCAGGTCTACATATCAGCGGTGATGCTCGCAATTTCAACAGATCTTCGACAGAATATTTTCCAGACATGTTTCTTGGGGTGGAGGGAGTAGTTCTCGCATCGGTTTGGAAGTGTGGCGGTAACGGAGGACTGCACAAAGAGGACACTGAGAACAAGACTGAGAGGTTGATGTGCGGACGCAGTGGAGAACTGTCGAAAAACCAGAATTAAAACGGGGATTTGGTCTCAGAAGAAATCAGGTTCAGCGCAGATGAGGCGTTGCCGGTGAGAGAAAAGGATCGGTGAGGTTTGTCGGCTGGAGGTTTTGTTTCATGCGGAGGAAATTAGACTGACGAGGGGCGGCGTCGAGGATCTCGCGCACTCAAGGAACAAAGAAGGCGAGCTTGAATTCGGTGATTTTTCCGGTTCAGGGATCTGTTCCAGATCGACTCGTTGCTTAGACTGAGAAACTCGTTGAATTGCTGTGATGCAGGATCTGATAATGTGACGTCGAAAAGCCGTTTTGAGGTTCTGCCAAAAAGGTCAAAAGATACAGGCGCCCAGAAGAGGTAAGAGTTGCTGTGCAGGACTCCGCGGCTTGGGAGAAAGTTGCGCCCAGGATTCCCGGATTAGGCGCCATAGACGCCAGCCACACTTTGTGACTCCAAAACCAAGGATTGAACGTGGTCGAATCAGGCATGTGTCCGCCCCACCATATCATTTGGCACAGTCTGACCTAGCGCTCAGGCCGCAGAAACGGCCAACATCTATCGAACAAAAACATAGAACTAACTCCAAACACAATTTTACAAGATATATAGAACCAATATACCACTCAAATAGAGCAAAAACAATCAACAATCAGGATTCCCACCTGGTCACCCACGGTAGTACTAACTGATCGGCATATGGCTTAAGTACGGCTGAGCGAACGGGAAGCCCTGTATTCCATATCCTATGGTCGATTGCG